TCCCCCGTTCGTTCAGTATAATATACGAATATACGACATCCGATTATTAAATTCCCTACGAATGGACAATAATAATAATAAAATAAAAAACACCACGCACTTAAACCTTTGGTATTTTTACACGGCTACATTTTACACACCAGTGGTGCTGCAGCAGTTGCAGTYGTACAGTAATAGAACGCGCCCCTTGCAATGTACACGGAACGTTTTCGACGAGTTCGTCTCGTGACGATCGAGCAGTGCGGTGGAGCGACATATTATAGAGACGAGAATATATCGAGAAAAAAATAGAGAGAGAGAGAGAGAGAGAGAGTCGTTTAAGTATTTAAACGTGTTAATATAAACTACACCGGGCATGTGCTGATGTATACAAACGAATGGAGATTTACATAATACACGTTTAAATAGCTTCGCGTCATATTCATTATATTCTACCGGCTAGGCCGTTTTCGTCCGGACGTGTCCTCCCATCGCCCCATGCTGCAAGTGTATAACACACGTCGTATTATAATAAATACACGCTCACACACACACACACACACAACATTATAGTGACTTTGAACGCGTTACAATAATAATAACAGCTATTAAACACACGCGTATTATTATCGTGCGTATGGAACGAATCTGTGACCATATCGGATGCAAAATAAAAACACACGTGTGGCCGGATATGGGACAACAAGGTCTCCTCGTCAGTATAATAACCACGGCGTTTACGAGGCGTCGTAGTACAGCGCACAGTTATTATTAAGTAATGTCGAATAATAATAATAATAATAATAATAATAGGAGGTATCGCTATGAATTATTATGATGTTGTGTTATATGCGGGACCAAATCGACAATACGATCACTTCGGTCGCCGCTGTACGAGTCGGCGACGGTTAAACATACGTATTGACGTATTGTCATAATTGTCATGATTTAAAGCCACTTATACAGGCCACCGTGTTATAGTCGTCAAAATATAAAACGAYACTGAGTCATCGTACAGACGACAACACCATTATCTACGATATTACGGTGTTATCGATTGTGTACGCGAATACGCGCTATTATGACGCTAATATTATYGTGGGAGTAGGTATTATGAATAATACGAAAAATCACGTGAATTAATAAAATCCGTAAATGTTTTCATATTCGCAAGTCAGCACACGACGTCCACTTATATATAAAAACCAGTAGCGAGGAAAAGTATACCCACCTATTTTTATCGATCGTATGACGAATGGCGACAGTTCCGAATTTTTGCTCRCATTCGCATAAAATAGTGTAGTATATACGTTATATTATATTAATACATACGTATTTGTGTGAGGTTAGGTMGTCGATCGCATGTGAATAACTCGTTAAAAAAAATAGTGTATTCTGAATGGAATAATAAAAAATAATGGTAATATTRAAAAAAATATCAACGAAATTCTAATACATATTATATAGGAGCAAACGTTTTGAATTGRAAAACTGTCGTGCCTCCGATTTTTGTATAAATCAAACCACATTACACGATTAATAGCCATATCGTTTATATTACAATGATACATACAACCATAACATAGGTGGCCCGATAGGTATGTATACATATTATATTATTATATACTATTTCCTGCGACCCACGGTGTCCGTGGCCATCACTCGCGAAGAGCGACCCATCTGGAGTTTCCACAACACTGCAATAGTTACAACCCAGAAAAGTGTTTTGATCAAAAAAATCAAAATCGATAAATACTCGTAAACAAATGAAAGGTCGACGCGAGTGAAAATATCCAATGCATTCTATGTCTATATAGATGCTGAATGATGGTCTTAAGTGGCGACATACTGCAATAATACCCATTAACGGAATGATATTCGATGATAATAATTGGAGGATATAGGGAATGGATCCCCTGTCCTTATTTTTTATATTTGTGTGTCACTACACTGTGATTTATCTTAGATATAAATAATAATGAATATATGCTGTCTCCCTCTACAATGGGAATTCCTGACTTCCTGTCTGTGCCACTGGTACATGACATAAGTATTATAGAACACATGATAGTAATAAGCAGTTTTACAATAAAAACAGTTGACTGTGTGACTTTTATATACATCAAAGAACAAACACTAATTCGATATTTCGAGACCAAAATCACTTTAAAATTACTGCAGGTGATTGACATTTATCATAATATTCTCGATTTATAGGTATTAAAGAATTTCAGAAACGCGGTAATTCGAATCATTTTGCACATAGTAATGAATAATGATCAGCCGGAAACTAACCTCTATTCATATCTGTATAAYAGTTGTTGCATGACGTATCACTGAAAATCCTGATCGGCTCAAACAGCGCACGACCGCCGTGATTTGATAAATATATTTTATTTTCTAAATGTTTGGCTTGACACGAGCGCGGTATAAGTATATTCGATCTTCGATAGCATTAATACCATTATTATAAAATATTACCTATGTTTTTGGTGTACATAATGTGCAGTGTCCGTCAAACGTCAAACAACGAGCACTCGACCCGCCAACGATGAATAATAATATTATTATCATAAATTGTTATAATATTTACACTCGATTCTCTATAAGCTACGACAATACATATATATATAAATATATACAGCTAGTGTATGTACGCGATRATCGATGGACTTGATTAAAGCGAGCGCGTCTTAAAAAATAACGACTTTTGGTGAGTTAACWGCAAAAGAAGAAAAAAACGGAGAATCTTCGTCACTCATATTATACAAAGAATAAAATTAAACGAAAAACCTTGCCATCTCGTATATATAGAATAATATAATATATTATACGTAATATATAATCGACGTGTGAACGACCACCCACCCACCCGAGTACCTATAGTGTTCGGACAACAGCGGCATTACTCACTCTAAATGCGATCGTCGTGCGTTAATTAACGCGAGTACATAAATCTCGTTTCGTTTTAAAACAAAAAACGGAATAATTGTGCAATTATAATATTTATTCCCCGCGATTGTTTCTCGACGCGCGGGAGGAGCACGAAAAACGTCGACTAATATTCGTTAGGTCAGACTTGTCGTAAATGTCATATACCGGGTGATCCGCACGTCTAACGTGAGTCAATCGTTTTTTTTTAAACTATAGGAACGTTTTTCGACATATATTTTTTTACACGAGTTTAAGTTGTCAGAAAGTACAATTTTCTGAAACATGTATTATTTGTTTTTCTAGTTTTTGTTATCGTTATTATTTTTAAAAGCAAATTCATTTTTAATAATAACGTACACATTTAATTCCTTTTTCCAAAGTACCTATACCAACGGAATGGTATTTTGGAACATTTCGATGAATAAAAATCAAATCTCAGACGAATAGTTCGTGACTTATAAGTTGTAACTATTAAATAATATAGTAGAACTTCGATTAACCGTCACTGTCGGRACCGGGGCTATGACGGTTAACGGAAATTTCAAATGTCAAGTGTTGCTCAATTTTTTCAGCATCCTGTTTTATGACATTCACTGCAGTTGTTCATACATAGTACAATACATACACACATAAATTTATAGTTCGTTTATCACRTTTATCGCTTATATTGGATATGTACATATTACAAACTATTTTTATACAYTTGATAGTTACTATGTTGGGCACCGCGACGAGTTTATCACAATCGTCTAATCGCCTAATTATTTTTTTTTTCGGCGATGACCGATGACGGATAACAGAGAGTGACGGTTAATCGAAGTTCTACTGTAAACGAAATTAATTA